GGTACACCGGTCATAGCAGAAACGAATGTCTAAATGTCACACACCTTTTGTAGATATTTTTCAGAGAGTCAAAACGTCTGAATGAAATGAAAATTTGTCTGAATTTCAGGCGAACAGGTCTAAACATCTTAATTCATGCTTTTAAAATTCAGACAAATTTTCAAATTTTTATTCAGACGTTTTTTATTTTCTGAAAAATGTCTACAGAAGGTGTGAGAAATTTAGACACTCGTTTTTGCTATGGTTTAAGTCGATTTTTATTATTGTTCATTTTCAATAAATATCTCGGAATCTAAAGCAAATAACACAATTTTTGTTATAACCTTTTTTGCAGCTCTTCATTCGTTCTACAAAAAAGATTATTATGAAAATTTCACTATCTCCTTTAGATTCTGAGATATTCTCCGAAAACTCAGCTACGAACTAAGTCGAGTTAAGGGGAAACGGAAGCCCTCTGTTTGTATGAATTTTTAGAATTGTGTTTTCTCCTCCAATTATTAATTTTTATCTATGAAACTACTTTATTGACTCGATCATTGCATTGTTGAGTCAATGAAATAGTTTGATAAATAACAAATAATAATTGCAGGAGAAAGCAATTCTAAAACTTCATATAGGCGCAGGAGTTCCGTTTCCCCTTAAACCGTTTCGCTACTGTATTCATATTGTCATAATTTAATGAGCAACCGAGTGTCAATGGAAACAACTACACGGAGAGAAATGTTCAGTAAAAATTACGGAACGCTCCGGAAAAATTCCGTGACAGTTCCGTAAAATTTCCTACAACCACATCTCCCTCCGGAATTACGAAAAAGATACGTAATTTTTATTGAATATTTCTCTCCGTGTAGCATAGGAAACGGTCAGTTTCATTTGAATTATCCCGTAAATGTCAGAGAAATTAAATTTTCAATTTTCACGTTATCAAAAATTCACCTCATTTTGATAAGGAATGTTCACGTTACTTAAAAAACTTTGAAATTTCCCAGTCTCCCCTTAAACTTGAAATTTCAGGAATAATTTTCCAACGGTGAAAGCCTCAAGTGCCAAACATCAATAATCTCTCTCGCCCTCATCCCTTATTTTCATTCCATTTTATTCCCGGGAATCGACGACGCGGGGGTGTGAATACGAGCCTGTGTGAGAGTATGTCGGCAGAGTCGTGAGGGAGTTGCCCGGTGAGAGAGCATTGAGGGTAATGGAGCGAGCGTGAGCGCGGTTAAAAGAGGGGCGAGGGATGGAAGGGAAGAGAGGTGTGGGTCTGGTAATTGAGAAGAGGAGATTTACTTCCTCTGCTTTGGGTTGAATAAAGGTGGTGTGGGCAGTGGGGGATGCTTGACGTGGGTGCGAACGGGGCGATTAGGAGTGGTAAGGAAAGAAGAGCCCGAGAGTTCGCCGTATAAATTCGTTCCCCAGGGAGGTGGAAACAGGGGAGGCAGAGAAGCAAATGGAAAAAAAAATGACAGGGAACGACAGACCCGTGGAATTATTTCATGAAGACGAGGGTTGATGGAAAGGAGAAAAGAGGCGAGTTAACGGTAGGAGGAAAAATAAAGGATGTAGCGGCGTGGGCAGGGGTGAGGGGGGGGGGGGCAAA